TAAATCTCAATTCTTTTGAACAAAAGAAGTTGTATAGTGTGTCTTTAAAAAGTGGATTGGCAAAAGACAGTGGACCTTTTGAGCCTGTGAAATTTCGCTATGTGACGGCACAATCCATAAATTCAGATTTATTCATACCAACCGTAGATTTTGCCTCCTCTGTGACAGAAAGCTGTAAGACACACGAACAACTGAAATAAGTGATGAAGAAATCAAAACTGAATTACATTTATGTTCACAACCCCGTATTCCTTTAATGAAGGCAGCTCATCAGTTTACTCTATCATTATAATTGTATGAGTTCACAAGAGATGCTAACAAACTGTCTGAAATGTCACGAATGATGAGGCAGTCAAAATCCTGACAACAAAATCTGCTGCAGCTCTGTTTGTTAGGGATGCACACAGATCATTAGAGGTTGGAGGATGGAGGTCTTTTAATGCCATTGAAGCGTAGGGGCAGTTTGTTCCCTTCACACCCCTTCATTAGCCCAGTGTGCCCTCATTTCTGCAGCAATTGTCCCTATGGTTTGGCACAAAGTCATGGATAGATGAGGTCATATTGCACTCATTTTAACACAAATGTATTGTACAGAGAGCCAAATTATGCTTGGGTTTAATGTTTTTGAAAGAAGGCTGTTCGCCAAAGCTACATTTATTCGATCAAAAGTAAAGTAAAAACAAGTCATACTGTGAAATACTATTACAATTTTAAAAAGTGTTTTCTATTTTAATTCTATTTTCAGCATCATTACTCCAGTCTTCAGTGTCACATGATCCTTCAGAAATCATCCTAATATGCTGACTTGCTGCTCAAGAAACATTTATTATTATTATCAATGCTGAAAAGAGTTGTGCTGTAATTATTTTTAGAAATCTTTTGTTTTAAATATCGTTACTCTCACTTTGGATACATTTTATGAATCCTTGCTTATATTGAAAAGGTGGTTAAGAAAAGTCAAGTTATGTCTGGGATAAACTTTAATATCATTTGTTTGCTGATGCCAATTGGTTTTATGTTTTGTATCCAATTGCAATGAAATTCAGACATTTTTGCGTGACTTAAGTGTTTAAAAATGTTTATAGTACATACATATTTAGCATTTTTCTAAACTATAAATATTCCTTCCATTCTACAATAAAAGTATCACCACATCAGCTTGCATTGGGCATAAGAATTCAAATTTGTGGTGGACTATTTCTTTAATTCACAGGGGTAATGTCTTTGTCATCTGCAGCTGCAGAAAGAAATACCTCAATACACAGGATGCCTTGGAGAGAGGATGCCTTTTTTTTTATCTGCCATGTGACTGTGCCCTCTGGTGTCCTGAGAGGCTGTGGGAATGCAGACATCTCCCCTGCTGTACGCCTTAATGCCTGGGAGCTACAGGAACACCGGGGCCTCTGGCAGCTGGAGCTGAGAGAGACTCAGATGCAGTCACTCTGGGACAAGAGAAGCCAGAGTGATGAGACAAGGGTAAGACACCTTGAGAGGAAACTGGCAGAGAGGAAGAGAGCAGCCAGAGTATTCACCCGACGCACAGACAAACATATTTAAAGACAAGATGCATTTGTGATAGAAACATATGGATGTACAGTGTTTACATGATGTAGATGTAAGTATAGAGTGACCCATATTAAGCAGTGGAGATAATAATGCAAATAATGCAAATATTTAAAATAAGATGCTGAAAGACTCACCACATTGTCGTCCGGGTCATTTTCACTCACTTTCAGGAATAGTTAAGCCCCAAAATAAAATAAAATAAAACAAAACACAAAACTGGGGGACTGAGGTTTCTGAACAAAAATCACCATAAAAGTACATAGCTTTCTGACCCACTTTTTATTTTTATTTATAGTATTTAAGTATTTTAGTAATTGTTTCTGAATTAGATTTTATTTTTGTATTTTCTGGTTTCACAGTTATATTTTAATTTTTTTTTATTTATATTATTTTATTAGTTATTTTGACATTGTATTAGTTATTTAGCAAATAACTAATAAAGCAGCTAGTTGCTTTGGCAAATAGCTGAAATAAAATATGTTTATATACAGTGGGTACGGAAAGTATTCAGACCCCCTTAAATTTTTCACTCTTTGTTATATTGCAGCCATTTGCTAAAATCATTTAAGTTAATTTTTTTTCCTCATTAATGTACACACAGCACCCCATATTGACAGAAAAACACAGAATTGTTTACATTTTTGCAGATTTATTAAAAAAGTATTAAGTATTTATTAAGTATTCAGACCCTTTGCTGTGACACTCATATATTTAACTCAGGTGGTCCATTTCTTCTGATCATCCTTGAGATGGTTCTACACCTTCATTTGAGTCAGGCTGTCTGACTTAAACCCAATTGAGCATCTCTGGAGAGACCTAAAAATGGATGTCCACCAACGTTTACCATCCAACCTGACAGAACTGGAGAGGATCTGCAAGGAGGAATGGCAGAGGATCCCCAAATCCAGGTGTGAAAAACTTGTTGCATCTTTCCCAAAAAGACTCATGGCTGTATTAGATAAAAAGGGTGCTTCTACTAAATACTGAGCAAAGGGTCTGAATACGTAGGACCATGTGATATTTCAGTTTTTATTTTTTAATAAATCTGCAAAAATGTAAACAATTCTGTGTTTTTCTGTCAATAGGGGGTGCTGTGTGTACATTAATGAGGAAAAAAAATAACTTAAATGATTTTAGCAAATGGCTGCAAT